GGCCGAGCTGCGCATGCGCGGAGCCACTCCCCGCCCGCGGGAACCGGGGACTGTGGCCAACCGCGCGGGCGGCCTCTGCCCTGTGCGCTCTGCGGGGCGGGGACGCGGTCACCCGGCGCTGGAAGCCTTCCTGAGCCTGGCGGGGTCTCCGCGGCCCTGTCCCCTCCGCGCCCCAGTGCCCTGCACTGTGGCTGCTTCCAGACCGCCGGCCGGGAAGGCGCTTGGCGGTCCCGCACCCCGGTACCCTACGTCGGGTCTTGGGCTCCCTTCTTTCTCTGACCCCCTTGGCGGGGCGGTGGGGAGGTGCGGAGGGCGGGTCCTTTGAGGTCACATCTCAGTTTAAAGATCACCATGCCTTTGGACCTTCTGACCTCCCCCCAGCAACAACCAGGAAAACCAAAAATAAGCCCAGCTTTTGGCTCCTCTCTACTACTGAGCTCTTACCGTTCCGCACAGGCCCAGACTAGGTGACAACAAACATTTGAGCGAAGGAAAATCTTTTTTTGGCGTTGAGGATGCAGTGAGGAAGAGGATCTTGGGAGAATGAGGTGTCTTCACCTGACCTAACCAGTGATACAGTGGCCAACACTAACAACGTACAGCCTGTAGCCAGGGCGACTAATCTAACGGGGGTAGGTGGTTAGACAGACATGAGCAGAGCCAAGATGACCGGCAAGCTGCAGGAGGTCACCAGGGTGGAAAGTGTAGGCAACTGGCAAAACTGGGAGAACAAGGATCTGCCCCCAGGCTAACCTTTCCTCCCCCTGGCAGGTTGCTAGTCCTGTGGGTTAGACCCTCCCGCTTTGCCATAGAGGGGAGCAAGGGAACTGAGAATAAACTTTTAAGTATGAAGCCCCAGGACAATGAAGATCTGACCCTCATCAAGTACATCTAGGCCTCAGTTGTTTCGGCTCCAGGCCCAGAAAAGTCACAAAACCAGACAAGCTACTCCATGGCTGACCTCAGGACCGGGTGCATTGACTAATGACCCCCTGCCCTGGTGCTGACTAATCAGGACACACCTGTAAAGCTGAGGAATATTCTATTGGCTCCTCCCCTGGGACCTCCCCTGAAACTGGGACTGTGGGCCCAGAGTGCTTTCCTCCCCCAGGAGCAGGCTGGTGTCCTGTCCCCCCCCCCC